TGGTCATTGTTGTTGATTCACCATTGTTGGTCATGTAATGACTCAAGTCCTCAAGTCATACAAAGTTGTTGAGCAATTGCAACTTAGTACAACTGACATAGAAGTAGAGAAGAAAATGTGTCTTGATGCTTTTTTTTTTTTTTTTTTTTTATAACTTGTAGTTCAACTTCAGACTTTATCTGGAAAACCTGCTTTGCAAGTGTGTCGTGTCTGCTAATAGAGAGGCTTGGGTTTACTCATCTTAGTTTTACATAAAATGTTTCTCAGAACCAAACACTACGCTGGATTAGACCACAAATTGAATTTTTCTCCTTAACATTGTCATAGCTTTTCCATCCCCCTCCTTTCTTACACAAACAGGTAAATGTTTGCAAGAGGAGGAAAGGAAGGTAAGAAAAAGAAAGAATCTGAAATCTGTGCTGAAATGTAGCTCCCTCAACCCTTACTGATAAGGCATCTAAAGGAGTCCCTCTAAGGTGAATCGCTTTGCCTGCATTACATTAGGGTGCCCAGGCTGAGCTTGGGGATCAGCCCCTCTAGAGTGGGAATCAGCTCTGTAGTTTGTGCAAGTTGTTCATGGGCTAGGAAAAAAAAATTCTGGACATGGTGGAGTTGGAATCACACCTAACACTTTGTTTCAGCTGAAGTTGGCCACTCAGTGGTATTTGTGAGTAGTAGGTACACATAGCAATCTGCTGAAGACCACGGACCCAGAAAACTGAAGCTTTGAACTAGTTTTAAAGATATTTCAGATTTCTTCCTCCTGGCACCTAACAGCTGTGCCCTTTAGGCAACATTTTAAATTTCCCTATTCCTCATTTTTTTCTTTTGCTTATGGGTTTGGAATTAACATCTAATTTGTTGGTAAATTAGATGTTGTTTTGTAAATTACAAGTGATGTGCAGCAAAGGCTCCACACAATAGGCTTTCTCTCAGGCTGTCTGTCTGTCACAGTCATTCTTGAGGTAATTAATGTGTATCCACTTCCTGAGGATGAATGAATTCTGTACTTTTAGGGTCTGCTGGTGAGACTCAAGCAGAGTGAGACTGAGCTTATATTCCTTGATAGCCTTTCCTTCCAAGGTCTTACCAGAACAGATTGTCTGAAATATGTTTTATATATAAAATGCTGTTTAGAACAAAATCTGAGCAAGAAATACTTAAGTAATAAATAGGCACAATGAAAGACTGCTGTAACTGTGTCTACCATGCTGTGCACTTTTAAAGTTGGAATGTAAGTGTCCTATGCTATTGTCTTGGTCTGGAATGCATAAGTAAAGACAAATGTGTTTGCAAATACATCATTTAAATTAGATAGTGCATCATTTCATTACAGTTATTAAGGACCCAAGTTCTACTATCTGGACTCATGGTTTTACTATTCTTAACAAGTCTAACTCTAACTGCATAATTTATTTGCTTTGTTAAAAACAGAAGGCTTAATCTGTGGATGGGAACAGATGAAGCAACAAACATATTTAAATCTTAATATTAGAATATGAAGTAAAACACAAATTTGCCAATGGTCTAAGCACTGGGTCTTGATCATGGTTTGTAATTTCCTTGTCTCCCACAGTAGTTCTGTGCTCTGTCTATTTCCTCGGTGAACGTCCTAAGAACTTTCCTCCCCTTAACAATAACAAAAAAAGGATCCCATGTCTTAGTTACCACGGTTGTTGACATTTACATCATATATGCGTTCTTTGTGTACTAATTGTCTCAGCTTGGTGTATAGCTCATTGGATTTTGATTACTAACTTTAAAAAAAAATGAAAATCTGGACAGTTTAGAAAGACCTCCTAAGATTCAGCATTTTCACTTCTCATTTGAAAATCTAATGTGGAAATGTTCACTATTTGATGTATTTTACTTTTTGTGTGTGTGTTTTCTAAAATTGACAAAGAAATAAGGTAGAACTTGGATGCCTATTTTCAAAGTGAACTCAAACAGCATCACTGGACCACATGAATTACGGTACTGCTTAAACTATTTCAACCGATTTGTTTATCTGTAAATCAGAGGTAAGATCACCACATGAAACTGGCTACCAGGAAGATTGATCAGGTTTCCTCTGTTGTGTACTGCAAGCATTCAATAATTCCACATTTAAATAGAATATCTCTGGTCTATGTTCAGAGAGGATGTGGTTTACAAAGAAAAATAGAACATTTTTTTTTTGAGAGGAAGATCTTCATTATAATTCCTGGTTGCAATACAGACAGAATTAAATTTGTATCAAGGTGCTGGTTATGTCATCTTGACACAAACTAATAACCTGGGATCTAGGATCCTCAACTGAGGAATTGCCTGACCAGATTGGTCTGTGACTATGTCTTCCAGGTATTGATTTGTGGTTGATGTAGAAGAGCACAGTCTACTGTGGGAGGTACCATCCTTGAACCATAGTCAGGGGAACCTAAACTAGTAAGTAGCATTCCTCCATGGTCTCTGCTTCAGTTCATTCCTATAGGTGGCCTTAATTCTGTAACAAGTTCCCTGGATGGTGGACTATAACCTGTAAACTAAAATAAACCTGTTCCTCTCCGAATTGTTTTTGGTCATGCTGTTTATTACAGCAACAGAAAGTAAGCTAGGACAATTACCCACCAGTCATACACCTTTAAAACACACTTGGAGGTATCTCAGTGAAACCCTCAGTCATCAAAAGTTGCGCATATACTTTGTGAATTGTGGATAATATGCACTGTTCATGAATACTTTAGCTGGATTTTCAAGAGCTTTCTATCAGAGATACCAAAAGTTAATTGGTAAGCAATATCTTAGAAGACTCTCTAGGGAGGGTTCGAGATACCATTTCTTTGTTTTATTCAAAATTATTTCACTCAATAACCATTAACTTGACAAAATTCAGTCTGGTGAGTGAGACAATGTGCTAGTGAATCACTCTGAGGGAATAGCCTGTGCTTTTCTCTGTCATCTTCTCAGCACCTCAGAATACCTAGATGTAAAAAATAATCTTTTGATAACTAACTGGGTTTCACTGCATATCCTCCTGTAATGGATTCAAATGCATGCACATACTTATATGCATGCATACCCTTGCAGATGCACACATACACACAAGCAAGACTGTACTAAGGAATCTATAGAAGGTTAATGAAAAGTGCTCATTAATGTTTTGACTGGACACACAGAAA